AAAAAAAAAAAAAAAAGTAAACATATCAGCAGGAAATGGAACTCAAGACAGAATATCCAGGCGCAGACACTGTTGTTTGAAGACTATATACAGGAACAGCAGTGGTTCCTAAACTCTCTTGTACATTGGAATAACCTGAGCAGTTTATATAAAATCCTCATGCTCAGGTCACACATAAACCCATTCATATCAGAATACCTGGGAATAGGAGGCAGGCATCACTGAATCCCAGGAAATTCCACTGGAAAGCAAAAGTGGGGAACTATGAGGAACATGTTGTTTGTTTGTATTGAAGGCTAGGCTGGGCTAGGTAGGCCACGCTGACATAAAATTCACAGCACTCACCCAGGTGGTGGTGGCATATGTCTTTAACCCTAGAACTCAGGAAGCAGAGGCAGGTGGATCTCTGTGAGTTAGAGGCCAGCCTGGTCTACAGAGCAAGTTCCAGGACAACCAAGGCTAAATAGAGAAACTCTGTCTGGAAAAAGCAAAACACCAACTCACAGCACTCTTCTTGTCTCCCAAGTGCTGGAATTATAGGCCTATTTGTAGCTAGAGTTTTTCTGCCTGGCCCACAGTCAGGACAAATCTTTGTCACCCCCCAGTCCCACAGCCGCTCAGACCCAACCAAGTAAACACAGAGACTTACATTGCTTACAAACTGTATGGCCGTGGCAGGCTTCTTGCTAAGTGTTCTTATAGCTTAAATTAATCCATTTCCACAAATCTATACCCTGCCACGCGGCTCGTGGCTTACCGGCATCTCTACATGCTGCTTGTCCTGGCAGTGGCTGGCAGTGACTCCTTCTGCCTTCCTGTTCGTTTATTTCTCCTCTCTGTTAATCCCGCCTATACTTCCTGCCTAGCCAAGGGCCAATCAGTGTTTTATTTATTGACCAATCAGAGCAACTTGACATACAGCACAGCCAAGTGCAGACCACCTCAGACACCTGCACTCAGGCCCGTGGTCCTAATCATCCTCTATGCGGACCTGCTGGGTAAAGCCAAGAGGAACCTAAGAACGGGCTCCCACAGGACATACAGAACATCACACAGCACATGTTTGTCTGTATGTTTACTGTTTTGCTGAACTTGAACTCACAGTAATCCTCTGCTGGGATCACAGTCTTGCGCCACCATGCTAGGCTAGCACATTTAAACACCCTCATTTCTCCGTGTACTGAGAGATCCACCTGCCTCCACCTCCTCCTGAGTGCAGGGATTAAAAGCATGTGCCACCACCGACTGGTGTACATGTTTATTCTTAAAGCTTTTGGTACAGGCAGGCAGATCTCTGTAAGTTTAATGCCATCCCAGTCTATATAGCAAGCTCCAGGACAGCCAAGACTACATAATGAGATCCTGTCTCAAAATTAAATAAATAACTAAAATAAAATTGTTATTTAGAATTGTCAGGCTGAGGCTGTAACTCAGTGGTAGAGAACTTGTCTAGAATGAACACGGCCCTGAGTTGACTCTCCAGTTGGAGCTACCAAAAAAAAGAAAAAAAAAAACTTGACATACAGGGCTACGCGTGCACACACATTCACACATACACACACACACATACCACACACACCACACACGACAAGGAGAAAAGGAAAAAAGGATGCACATACAGAATTATTTCAATTAAATGTAAAAATATACATGAAAAGAGACTACAATGTTAGCAGTGATTTTTATCTCAGAATTACAAAGACAGGTTCAGCTAGCGTTTTTCTGTTTCCAACATTTCACACGATGGGAACATATTGACTTTTTCTTATTAGAAAAGCATTTCTCCTTAAAGGTCACTATGACAGTCAGGCAGGAAATGACAAGGGCCTGAAATAGAACAGCAAGGGGAACAGCTATAAAGGAGCGGAGAGGGGAAACAATCGGTGGCCAATTAGACACAGGGGAAAAAAGAATGACCCGCAGGTTTGTGGCACTGCAACTGAGCAGATACGGTGACCGTCACAGATACAGGGAGGGGAGGGTCAAAATGAAGACGGATTTTATTTTCATCATGCAGAAATCAAGTGTCTGGTCAGCAGTCAGGTGAAGCTGTCTGGTGGTGTGAAATAAGCCATAAAAGCTTTAGGAATTCCTATGTAGATGCCAATTTAACCACATGAAGGGAGCCAGGAGTTGCAGAAATGCCCCGTAATACCAGCAGCACCGGGGAGGCGGAGGCAGCAAGACGGAGTTTGGTGTCAGCCTGAGCCACACGCCAAGACTGTGCCCCCAACCAAAATAAATAAATCAAACATCAAGTACGTAGTCGAAGGGAGGGAGGCCTGGGAGTGACGACGCTTGTACACCTCATATAAAAACAGCCCTGGGCTGGGGATTGAGCTCAGTGGTAGAGCGCTTGCCTAGCAAGCGCAAGGCCCTGGGGTTGGTCCTCAGCTCTGGAAAACAAGCAAACAAACAAACAAAACAAACAAACAAACAAAAAAAGAACAGCCCTATGCCAAACTAGCCACAAACAATGGCTCAGCAGTTAAGAGCTGCTCTTACAGAGGACCTGAGTTCAATTCCGAACACCCAGATGCTAGCTCACACCCTCTCTAACCAGGGGATCTGATGCCTCTTCTGACCTCCACAGGCACCAAGCACAGAAGTGGTGCACAGACATGCATGCAGGCAAAACACCTATACACATAAAACAATACAATTTAAAAATAGTAACAAGAAAACGGACTAATGCAAAAGAAATTTTAAATATTAAAAAGTATGTAGTATGCCTGCCCAAAGATGGCACACCCTTTAATCCCAGCACTTGGGAGGCTGGGGCAGGCAGAAATCTGTGAGTTCGAGGCCAGCCTGGTCTACTGAATGAGTTCCAGGACAAGCTAGGGCTGCACAGAGAAACCCTGTCTTGGGGGAGGGGGTACACATAGTGAGACCATTTAAAATGTTATTATCACCACTATTATTGTTATTATTTGTGGTGTTGGAGAGTGAAATCCTGACCTTCCTCATGTTATGTAAACATTTTACCACTGAACTACACACCCAGCTCACAAGGATCACTAAAAAATAAAACTAGCCGGGCGGTGGTGGAACACCCCTTTAATCCCAGCCCTCTGGGAGGCAGAGCCAGGAGGATCTCTGTGAGTTCAAGGCCAGCCTGGTCTACAGAGCAAGATCCAGGACAGGCACCAAAACTACACTGAGAAACTCTGTCTCGGAAAAAAAAACAAAACAAAAAAAAACAAAAATAAAAAATAAAAATAAATAAATAAAATAAAACTGAGGAAAATTGTTTAAACATTAAATGAATTAGTAATAAATCTAATATCTGATTAAATTACACCCCTTATTGTGTTGTTTTTTGAGACAGGGTTTCTCTGTGTACCCTGGCTGTCCTGTAACTCATTCTATAGATCAGGCTGGCCTCGAACTCACAGAGATCGCCTGTCTCTGCCTCCCGAGTGCTGGGATTAAAGGGGTGCGCCACCACTACCTGGCTAAATTACACTTTTAATACGCCAAACTTGCTTCCCTTTTCCCTTTTAAAATGAGACAGGGTTTCATGTATCCCTGGCTGCCCTTGAACTTGACATGTAGCAGAGAAGGACCTTGAATATCTGATCTTTCTGTCTCTACTTCCTGAGTCTTGGATCAAAGGTATGCACTGCCACACATTAAAAAACAAACAAATGAGCAAAAGCTGTATGGGTGTTTCACATGGGAGCATGTATGTATGTTTGTGTGCTGTGTGCATACCACACCTAGTGCCCTCAGAGGCCAGAAGAGGTATGGTCACACTAGTCAGACTGGCTGGAACAATGTAGCCCGGGTCGGCACCAAACTCAAGATCCTCTTGCTTCAGCCTCCCAGGTGCTTAAAAGTCAGGTATGAGCTACCACATTCAATGACACTTTTAATTTTTTTGTTTGTTTGTTTGTTTTTTCTAGACAGGGTTTCTCTGTGTAGCTTTGCGCCTTTCCTGGAACTCACTTGGTAGCCCAGGCTGGCCTCAAACTCACAGAGATCC